ATAATTTATATGTTTAAAGTATTTATTTATAAAAAATTTTAATATAATTTATATATTCAAACATAAAATTTATTTGTATATATGTAATTTATTATAAATTTTAATTATATAATAAATATTTAATATATGCATTGCACATGCTAAAATATTAGTAAAGAATATATATGTGTTGAATCCACTAGCAAGGTTAATACTTCCTGGTCTTCTAAGATATGAGGGAGAAAAGTGGAACAAACACAGAAGGATAATCAACCCTGCATTCAAAATGGAAAAATTGAAGGTTAGTTTTCTATTACTAGATTTAGATATTATATATTGACTAGTGTGACTTCTGAAAACATGTCATAAAAACATTGGACTAGTGTGCAGGCAAGAAAGTAACATGATTTGAAGTCTGAAAGTGAATTTTTATGTGCTAAATTGACATGGAAGATTTTAACACCTTGCCATTTCTTCATTATACCATAGAATATGCTACCATTATTTGCCGAATGTTGCGATGATATGATTGGCAAATGGGAAGAAATGGTGTCTACAAATGGATCATGTGAAGTGGATGTATGGCCTTTCCTTCAGAATTTGGCTAGTGATGTTATTTCTCGAACATCATTTGGAAGTAGTTTTGAAGAAGGAAGAAGAATATTTGAACTTCTAAAAGAGCAAGCTAAACTTATCTCAACAATTGCAAGCAAAGTTTACATCCCTGGTTGGAGGTAAGATTAATATGTATATTTACTTGATAAACTTACAACAAACACTACTAAATTTTGTGACACAAATATGTGATATCTCTTAATTAAAGCTTTGTTAATCGAACTTTGTTAATTATTGACAGAGCCACCGTTATAAGGCTAGTTGATATAGAAAAAAGCATTCGCTTTCATATATCATGATCATTATTAATTACAAGAGTTATTTTGTTGACTTGTAGGTTTGTACCTACTCCTACCCATAAAAGGGTGAAGGAAATTGACAGAGATATAAAAGCTTCGCTTAAGGATATAATTAACAAGAGAGAGAAAGCGCTAAAGGAGGGTGAAGCCACTAAAAATGACTTGTTAGATATACTTTTGGAGTCAAATCATAGGGAAATTCAAGAACATGGAAACAATATGAATGTTGGAATGAATATTGAGGATGTTATTGAAGAATGCAAGCTATTCTACTTTGCAGGGCAAGAGACCACAGCAGCTTTGCTTGTTTGGACAATGATATTGCTGAGTAGGTACCCTGATTGGCAAGTACGTGCAAGGGAGGAAGTGTTGCAAATTTTTGGAAATCGAAAACTAGATGTTGATGGCCTAAGTCACCTCAAGATTGTAAGTTTCTATTATTATATACTACAGTGTTTTAAAACCTGGACCGACCCGGCCGGTCGGACCGGTTGGACCGGGAACCGGTGGTCCAGCCGGTTCGAATCTGAAGTTGGATCGGTTATGCAGTCGACCCGTTTCAAACCGGATTGAACCGATCAATTTTCCGGTTCAACCGGTGAACCGGTGGGTCAAACCGGTTTAACCACTTTTTTTTCTTATTTTTTTTTAAATTTTTTTAAGGGACCATAAATCACAAAAATAATAATGAAAATTGAATCTCTTAATGAAAAAGCAAGGAGTCTTATTAAATATAACAATGACTACTTGTTCTAATATATTTGTTTGCAATATATACAACTTAAATAACTTTTATAGTATATTATTAATTTTAAATTATATATTTAATAATGCAATATCTATGTAAATATTACATATATTATTTTGTGATATTAATTGCAAGCATATTATATATGTACATATTATTTATATTTTTAATTTGTATTAATATACCGTTTAACATGTAATTTTTTTATGTATTTTTTTACAAAATAAAAATAAAAATAATTTTAAATAAGATAGAAAAATTGAAATTTAAAATAAGATATGAATTTATTAAAATTTATAAGTATAAAATATATTTAATATAAATATTTTTTAATAAAAATCGAGTCATGCGGTTCAACTAGTGACCCACCGGTTCAACCTTTGACCCACTGACCCAGTACCTTAACCGGTTCGATGACCGGTCCGGTTTTTAAAACTATGAATACTACTTTTGTTTCTATTTATAAGACTCAACTCAAAATTGTTTATTCTTTTATATAAGATTTAATTCATAATGTTTGATGTATTAATTAGTTTTAGATTAAAAAATATCTCTAATTAAAATTTGTTTTCTTAATTTGATAGAATACATTAAATGTAAATTCTTTAAATGACATGCATTTTAATTGGTTAGAAGAATATATAATATTAGTTATGAGAGAATAACTAGTATATGACATACACTCTAATTAGTTAAAAGAGATATGAATAATAACTAAGAGAGAAATGTAGTAAAAAGATAGTTTTAGGAAAAAAAAAAGTATAAAATTAAAATAAGACTAATTTATTATTATCAACTAGAATAATTACTTTTTCTTTACTTTTATGAATTAGATATTTAGATCTTATATATATGATACCAATGTAGTATCTTTTTTTTGTACTTATACTATCGTATATCTTGATATTGAATCGTATGTGCTTTGTATTTATTATTAGTGTGATTATTTTTGCAACAGGTTACCATGGTTTTGTATGAGGTTCTTAGATTATACCCACCAATAATTGGTTTTGGTAGAAAAATTCACAAAGATGTGAAACTTGGAAATCTATCATTACCGGCAGGAGTGCAACTATTGTTACCAACAGTTATGGTTCAACATGATTGTGACCTGTGGGGTGATGATGCTAAGGAGATCAAATCTGAGAGATTTTCTGAAGGAGTTTTGAAGGCTACAAATGGTAAAACATCATTTTTTCCATTTGGAGGGGGTCCTAGAATATGTATCGGCCAAAACTTTTCCTTGTTGGAAGCAAAGATTGCTTTGTCAATGATTTTACAACATTTCTCATTTGAACTTTCTCCAACCTATACTCATGCTCCATTTACTGTGGTTACTCTTCAGCCACACCACGGTGCATATGTCATTCTAAGTAAGGTCAAAATATAAAAAATAACAATTAGCTCCTATTTTATGGTTTGTATTATTCTCTTGTTGAAAAGTTTGTTGTTGTAATAATTAAAGAATTGATAGACACGAACTTCTTTGTATTTCTGTTTATTGTTTTTTTATTTATTTATAAATTTTAATGTGAGCAATGTTTATGATTTATTTTAAGCAATGCATATTTATCTATCTATGCAGTAATACACCAAAATTAGTCTTTTATAGATATTATTTTGTTTTTTAGCGACTATATAAATAATCATTATTTTTTTTATCAACAATTAAATAATAATTGATATATCCAAGGTCTTTACTGATATTTATATAGAATGCTAGTAAAAATTCACTAAATTGTCAAGAAAATTTATATTTTTTAGTGACAATTCTAATAGTTATTTTAAAGGTCATTAAAAGTTTTTTTTTTCAATTGTCTCCTTTCAATTTATTTAGTGACTTTTACCTATTGCTAGTAAAACCTTAAATAATTTATTCCTATCTTTTCTTTTTCTAAATTCATAACTTATATACTTTTCTTTTTATCTCTAGTAGATATAAGACTAGTAAGATGAGGATTATCTTCTATTTATATATATATATATATATATATATATATATATATATTTAGTTATTTTACTTAATAACTTATAGTGTATGTTGAATTTCAATAATTTAATTGTTAAATTAAATTATTTTTATCACGTAGATCAAGTTTACAAAATTTTTAAAAAAATTAAAAATTATTTAATATTTTGTATCATTAATTCAAATTAACAGATAATTACAAAAATATTTTATATATTGATTTAAATCTATATAACGAAGTATTATATGATTTTCAAATTTTAAAAAAATTATAAACTTAATTCATATATTAAGAACTTTTAATTTAACGGTTGAATCATTGAAATTTAATATATACTTGAGAGTTATTGAGAGAGATATATAACTTTATATATATTAAAGTCATAGTTACCATTCCAGCTTGTTACAAAAGTTGCTTAAAAAATTGTATTGATAAAATCTGGTCCGGTTCTTATAACATTGCTAGCAAGATATGACATATCAAGATTGATCGCCAGCTTTAATTAGTCATCACATGTGATTCCTTTTTGTATGCATAACCCTTTCGTGTTCCTAGAAAAGAAGTGTCACACCATGAACAAGTGTATTCATCTATCCGTTGCAATAAACAAAGACAGAAACATCAGAAGAACTCATGGTTAGAGGGAAGATGATGATGATTTAGATGTAAACTGTATATTTTAAAAGGCTAAGGTGATGGACAAGTCTATGCACAAGCCTCCATTTATAGACATTGGTGTGGCAGAAAAAGTAGCCGTTCAAATTGCACAAATTTGAATGGACAAACCAAATTTCTTTGCGTGAAAAAAAGGTGTCAACGTCTCATAATGTTGTTTGTTCTTATTGGCAAAAAAAAGCAACGGTGAACCCATTGAAGAGGCATAATCCTACCAGCAACTTCACTGTCAACTTGGCAAAGTGTACATGTGATTTGGAAAATTTCAATCATGTCATGTTTGCATGTTCTAGCAACTTGTGTACATGTGCATCACAATTACAAAGCGTATGTGATCTATTGTGCAGCCTTGAAAAAATATTAAATGTGTATAAGGGAACATTTGGTTCAATGCGAAATGAAGCTTATTTGCTAATTAGAGTTATCTTATTGATGTTTGTTTGAGAGATATATATTATCAAGATCATATCTCTATTATTTTATTGGTTATTTCAAGCATAATATCATAATAGTAGGGTATTATTCATTTTGGAATCATATCTTAGTAATTTTATTTTTGGTTATCATTTAAAAAGTTTCTATCTAATAAAGTACATGTGTATGTGAGAAAAAAGGTAAAACGTAAAACTGATCGGCTTTCTCTTTTTTTCTTTTTAAAACTTAACCTCCTTTTAACCCTTTAGTAAAAATGTGAACCATGGTTATAAAAAATAAGTTCCCTTTCCTTATTATAAATAATTAAATAATATAATCTTTAATTATAAAACCGCACCATATATATTCATATAAAATAATTACTAATAATTACTAAATTCAAAATATTTAATTATCACAAATATAGTAAATAATAATAAAATAAATATTAACAAGCTCTTATTAATAAAAATAAAATATCAAAATTATTAATAAAATACCTATATTATGTTTTATAAAAAATAGGGTGTTACAAGAGGTGTTAGTTTTATGACATATCTTATTATGTTGATACGTATTGTGGTGTTTTAAAAGTCTATTTATTGACAAATCCTTCTTGAGTATAGTTGTTTCTTGAAGTGGAATGTCAAGTCTCCTCTAGGTTCTTAGTTGATACTGTATAGGGGTTAAGTAGAGTCATATTGATTTAGAAGTGATCAATCGAGTAAGGTATAATATTGGGGTCAAAATTCCTAATTAAGTACTAGAAAAGTGCATAATATTTGAGGATAGTTAGTGGACTAATTAATTCCATATAAACTTAGTTATACATGATAAAGTCATGATAGGCTCACACCAAAGTGGTTCTACTCTTGAAATCTATTAATTTATTTATATTGTCAAACATGGAATATTTAAATTAATTTTTATTATATTATATAGTTAAATAGGTTAGTCTATGGCTAATTGTAATACTTTAACAAGACTATGATAGATGTCTCTTGGTTGAGGGTGGTTCAGGGGAAATCACCAAGGATGGGGTGGTTCCTACACCATAGATGGGGTGATCCTATATTCCATGGCTCCTAGTTTATTATGAGTAAAGGATGATGAGGGGATTTAGTATCACATACATATTAGGTTAAGCATAAGCATTTGCACGAGTCTTTATGTTTATAATTATGAATGATGGGATTACATGACGGTTAGTTGTTGATGGTGCATGAATGTATTTTGAGTGGTATTACTAAGGGAGTCTTTGGTATGCAAAATGTTTTTACTTCTTTGGGAATCTTAATTTTTCATGTTTGGTAGCCATTAAAAAAAAAAAGATTCACAAGAGACAAAGTTTACCAAGAATTAATTTTATTCCAATTTTCCAAAAAAAATAATCCATGGGAGGTTAAATATCCAACTTTCCTGAGTTAAGAGAGAAATTTTATGTATATAAAAGACTACAATATCCTTTTTAAAACAAAAAAAAAGTACATATGATTGCAATTTATCTTTTCAAAATATTTCGCTCGCTCTCTTTCTCTCTATCTCTATCTCTCTTTTTATTTCTCTCTCTCCCTCTCCCTTTCCCTTTCTCTCCCCCCCTCTCTTCCTCCCTCTCCTTCCCTATCTCTCTTTTTCTTGTATCTCATTAATTATTTCTTGACCTTGTCAATTTTAATAATATTATTAAAGTATTTTGTTTTTATAGTTTAATGGTATTTGTTACCAACTATTTATTTAAAAATATCTAATGAGGTTATTTTAATGAAGAATATTTTTGTAAAAGTATTTATATACATAGGAATATACTATTGTAACCAAACATGAAAATCTTTAATTTTCAAAAAAAAATTATGAACATTTATCGGAATCTTTTATGAGTAACAAAACAAACTTTAGTTATTCCTAGAAATCATAATTCCTAAGGCTTGTAATTTTCAAGAATCATGATTCTTAAGTATGAAATTTTTTTTCCCTTACCATAGCCCCCAAAGAAGAGTGTTGTCTTGGATATAGAGATAAGGTTAAGTGTATACATGGGAATTTAATTATGATGTATATATATATAACTATCTTTATGCTTTATATATGTTGTACATGGACATAATGTATTCTCACTCTTTATGTGTTGCTATGTTTGTGTTTGTGCTAATTGTCATTTGCAGGAATAAATCAGATTATGTTTGTAGCATTGGGACTGAGGATTTTTTTTGTTTTCTTTATTTTAGTTAGAATTATTTAAACATGACAATTTTTGTTTCAATTTAGAGGATTTTATGTAAATAGACAGTTGTGCATTGTTTTAACTTTGCAAAGTATTTGGTTATATTTCTTTTTATGTAAATAGTTATTTTTTTAGAAACTTGTGAATCCTTTTACTAAAAATAGATAGATATATATTTTTATATTATTTGTACCTTTGTATTAAAAATTACAATATATCTAACTTTGTTATTAAATTATTTTGTACCTTTGTATTAAAAATTACAATATATCTAACTTTGTTATTAAATTATTTGAGATAAAAGAGTGTCACAAAAAATATTCTTTATGTCGAAGGAAACAACATTTGACATGAAAAATTTTGCAATGTTAATATTATTATTATTATAAGCGTGTCACTTTTTAATGACGGGTGGATTTCCCTTGACCTAAAATCCTAATCATAGAAAACTCTTTTAACACTAGTATAAATAAATAATATATTAATACACGACCTAATTATGAGTGAAAACTAAAGAAAAAAAAAAGAAAGAGGATATAAAAGTATAATCGCAATTAGGAAATATATTTTATAAAATTTAAATTTAAAATTGGTATCTGCAAATCTAAGTAGCTATTAGGAAATATATTTTACAATCAGAAAATATAATTCACAGTGATTTATATACCATAAATATTAATTTTACCATTATAAGAAATGTTATAACATATAAAAAGTGTCACTATAAATATAATATATGTAGATATAGATCTATTTGACATATAGTTACATATAATTTTAGTTTTAATTTTAAATGAGATTTAACAATATATTTTGTGTGTCATTATAATCTATATCAACACGTTTTAACAATATGTTAACATATATTATATTTGTTGTTTGAATAAAAGTAGTTTTTATTGACACGTAATGTGTCACTATATATGACAATTTTCTTGTAGTGTAAAGAAATATATATTATAATTAATGTTAATTAATTTTTTATAAATAATTTATATAAAATTAATTAAAATTTCCTTAATTAAAAAT